TAGAATTGATAATAATTTTGATTAGTTTGATTTCATCTGAATTTTTTTTCGTTTTACTTGAGCAATGTGGATAAAAATAAATCGCTAACCAAAACTTATTATTTTGCAGTAAACATCCACAGCATAAAAATGAATTTGGAACTTTTGCGATCACGTTGGGTGACTCCGGCATAATTGCCTCGAATTATGGACCCTGTAAGAAGTAACTAAAAAAGTCATTAATATGTAATTGCGGAATGGTAATAATAAAAATCAAAGAATCCACTTATCCTTAATTAACTCCACAACGATTAGTAATGAAAATTAAGATTACCAGGGTCTGAATATTTCAGCTGAAAGGCAAATTCGATTAACAAATTAACGAATTAACACAAACACGACCCCACAAATCCCACCAATTGGAAATATTTCTAAAATAGAACTGATAAATGACGTTTTCAAGCCTTTATTTTTTATTCATTATACGATCAATGCGAAAAAAACAAATACAGCTAATTTAATCCTATTATTTTCCTTTTCTTACACCACTTCTAATTTCATTCAAAATTCACGTAATATTAATGAGCTTCATCATCGTATATATAATACAAATCCCAACTATTGCGAAATCTATAATCGAGTAGAGATCGTTAGAAACATGAAAGCAAGCGATCATATATATGTTCTCAACGGAACGCACCATAAATTCCTCAACATTAGTAACATGCCTCGCGTTACTGTTCGTATCCCACCAACATGCAATCATATTAACTTTCATGAACTCGAGATCGTGCCAAAAGAACACAACTCGAAGGCCCTTCTGCAACTGGGCATTGGTTGGCCAGCAAGGTACCGAAATGGCGTTTTCTTCGCAGGTGAAATGAACCACCCATGTTTCGTTTGCAGGTAATTTCTTGTCATATATGAGCGCCCGTTCGTAATGTTCTTTGAGCTCTTTTTTTGTAGCTGAAGCTAAAAGTTCGAACGCAATGGTTGGATGATCAGATCGTGCGATGACTATGTCGACATATTTATTATTGATGTGCCCACTTGCACGATATTTTAGATGCCACTGTCCCGTTACTGTAAATCTACCAAGCCAGTTCGACATGATCCGGTAAAGCTCCGCATCATACACTGATTCTCTAGGAACTTCTCGATTATTTGCATTATTGACCAGCACACGTGCTAACTTAAAAGAGTTGCGGGACTTTATTGTTTCTTTATCAAATACACAGACAACTTGTTTCAAGGCCTTAAGGATGTCTAAGGTACCTGTGGTAGGATTATAGGGGACTTCCGCTTGAGGCGAGGTCGGAAACAATTTTGGAATTATTTGTTGTAAGAGAAGCCAACGCACCAAAGGTGATGATAGATTGAAATATCCAGGAAGATTTTCATCGGGCACCAAAACTCCTTCTGAAGCAAGAAAATTCGCCAGATTACAATTGGTAGGCCGTACAGCCTCAAAAGTTGTCAAAAATTCGGACCGGAAGAGCTTCATAGCAGACTTAGAATGATCTTCCAAAAGGTCATCTTTCATTCTCTTAAAAGTTGAATATTCTAATACTTCTTCTGACAATGACATAATGCTGAAACTCTGCCATTTGTCGTAGCTCAGGTATACTCCCCTATCTAGATTTTCCATTAACCTTCTGTAGATCGCACGCCCACACAGGCAGACAAGACCGGCATGACTTTTGAGAGATAAAAATAGATCTTAGTATCATACATATCTAAGTTTAGTATATCTTCGCTTACCCGTTTGTTTGTATGTAGATGTCTTGAACAATGTCGTCGTTAATAATTATATAATTCTCTTCTGCAAACTGTTTGTATATAGTCTGCACTTGTTTTAAGGTGAAGTTTGGGTTCATGAATGGCTCTTTAACATTAAAAGGTGATGTGTTCTTAACTGGCGCATCCAAATGCAAAATGCTGAATGGGCCAATAGCAATTATGGATTGGATGGCATAAATATCCTTGTTCGTTCTAATACTGCGAAGAGTCTCTAGGCATGATAAGAGAACCTCGTTATTCGCTCTGTATAGTTTGTCAAATTCGTCGAAGAATAAAACCACTTTAGATGTCCAATTGCTATTAAGAAATGTGTTTAGGAAACAGCTGGCAGATTTGATTATAGGATTGCTTGGAGTGCCAAGATGTTGAACAGCATCACGTTGAAGTGCTGATCCAAGCGTACTCCAGAAAATGTCTTCACTTTCAGTAACCCTAACATCCTCAAACGACACACTGTCCGGGAAACAAAAAAATGAGACAGTGGTCAGATTACGTGTAATAATGATGGAAGATACCTGAAAAAATCATGCTTACTAGATGCGAATAAAGTTTTGTTTGTGCAAGTGGTTCATTATGTGTAGTACTCGTGTGGACTTTCCAGATGCTCTAGGTCCATGTAGAGCCACAAATTGACCTTGATGGATCTTCTCAAGAAGTGGACGACTCTCCTCTGTTGGATCCACGAAGTATACATCGTGAATTTGACTTGGTTGGATGGCACCATTTACTTCCCATCTCCTTTTCTTCGGC